GGGGGGGGTGGCAGAACATGCAAGAATTGTGACAGGTCCTCTTTAAGGAAGGTTCAGACACGTGTTAGCATATTTCAACAATGTTTCAAGATTAGAGTTGCCCCTCCCCCTGCACCCACATGGCCCGCCACATGTACTGCACTGCCATGTGACTTTTCTTAAAGAGGCAGCAGCCTGGTTCTTGATGGTGGCACCTCTGCAGTCCATAATGGAACCAAGACGCAGTTCTGGATTTGGGAACGGTCCACCATTATGAGTTTGATGGGATTCTAACCTGAACTCCTCCCCGACTGTAATAGGAGACATGAGGCCAGATTATAATGTCACCACAGACAATGACTCTACGTGGGCCCCTCACGCACCCTAAAGAGGGCCCAATCCATTCAAACTAATAAGAGCCATGTGCAGGGATAGAGAACACGATACATAGGCACTGCTGCCAGATCCCCGGTGCAGCAACGAGTTGTCCCCTCAGCCGTCCCTCTACACCCCCAGGGCCCGGCGCGGCCTGTGTGATATAAGCGGAGAGGTGACTGGCGATAATAAAACTTTATCAAACATCAATCCGGTAACACGGCCGGCCCCGGCCTGCTCTGTGACACATGCTGCAGTGTGAGCTACGGGAGGAAGTCCGGCCTACGCCTGTGGCGGACGGGGCACTGACACCGGGCCCGGCCTATGCTCGCCTGGTCTCCCCTGTTCTCCGCTCCTCTCCCACCTCCTCCCCGGCCCGGACACTTACCCGCCGCCTCAGTCCTCCACACCGCTCCGACTCCACAGGCTCTTCCCGCAGCGCTCCGTCGTAGCGCGTCCTACCATTGGCTGGTGGCTGGATGACGCAGGCGCGCAGGCCGCCGCTGATTGGTAGAGGGGCCATCACTCCGCCAGCTACAGCTGTTCCCTGTCACTGGACGAGTCACGTGGCGCACGGAGGGTCCGGCGTGCTCTCTGCAATCTGCGAGCTCAATCAGTGCTACATCACCGACAGCCAGTGCTACACTATCCACACCGACACAGCGCTACGACACTGACACACAGTGCTACATCACCGACAGCCAGTGCTACATTATCCACACTGACACACAGTGCTGCATCATCCACACTGACACCCAGGCTACATCACTGACACCAAGGCTACATCATCCACACTGACAAACAGTGCGACATCACCCACACCGACATTGACACCCAGTGCTACATCATCCACACTGACACCCAGTGCTACATCATCCACACTGACACCCAGTACTACATCTTTCACACTGACACAGTGCTAAATCTTTCACACTGACACCCAGTATTACATCTTTCACACTGACACAGTGCTAAATCTTTCACACTGACACCCAGTGCTACATCTTTCACACTGACACAGTGCTACATCATCCACACTGACACCCAGTGCTACATCATCCACACTGACATTGCCACCCAGTGCTATATCATCCACACTGACAGTGCTACATCATCCACACGGACACAGTGCTACATCATCCACACTGACACAATGCTACATCATCCACACTGACATTGCCACCCAGTGCTATATCATCAACACTGACAGTGCTACATCATTGACACTGACACCCAGTACTACATCTTTCACACTGACACAGTGCTAAATCTTTCACACTGACACCCAGTGCTACATCATCCACACTGACACCCAGTACTCTGCACTGACAGCGCTATATCATCGACACTGACACCCAGTGTTATATCATCCACACCGACACACTTAGTGCTACATCACTAACACCCAGTGCTACATCATCCACACTGACACCCAGCACTACATCATCCACACTGACACCCAGTGCTACATCATCCACACTGACACCCAGTGCTACATCATCCACACTGACATTGCCACCCAGTGCTATATCATCAACACTGACAGTGCTACATCATTGACACTGACCCTTAGGCCCCATTCACACTGCGCGATTCGCAAATCGCGCGTTTGTCGCGCAATTTGCATTTTGCGCGATTTGTGGCGCAAATGCTTGCATTGAGCAAGCTTGAATCGCGGCTAAATCCGCTCCAAAAAGGGTCCTGCTGTAGCGACACACGACCCGCGACAGCAGGACCCTTTGCCCCATTGAGAAGCATTGGAGAGCGATATCGCGCAGTAAATTGCCGCGATATCGCGGGAATTACCGCGCGATAAATCGCTCAATGTGAACGGGGCCTTAGTGCTGTATCAGTGTTCTGCCATCATCTACCACAGGGGTCACATCACTGGCCATGGTATTAGGTGCACCTTGCTAGTACCGGGTTGGACCCGCTCTTGTCTTCAGAACCCCCTTCATACTTCATGTCATGGACTCAGACCTGAGGTCAGCTGACTGCGGAGGACAGTTCTGTACAGAGAGCTCATCATCATGTTCAGGACACCGGTCCGAGATGATTGTATCATTGTGACACCGCGCGTTATCAGAAGACGGTGCGCTGTGGTCATGAGGGGATGGACATGGTCAGCAACAATACTCATACGGATTTGCTGTCCTGTGATTGGCTGATTACATATGTACATTAATGAGCAGGTGTACCGAATAAAGTGGCCAGTGTGTGCGTGCGTGCGTGCGTTTTAACATTATGGCCGCCTGCCTATTATTGAGTAGGTTCCTCTTTTGCTGCCAAAACAGCCCCGACCCATCCAGACATGGACTCCACTAGAACTCTGAAGGTGTGCTGTGGTATCTGGCACCAAGCCGTCAGTAGTAAGGATGAGCTCGGGCATGTTCGCAGCTCCACGTACCGAGCCCGCCAAGAAGCTGACAGCGCGCAGCGCCAATCACAGGTACTGAGACATTTCCTAATCTCTGCAGCTGCGAACCGGGAACATGTGTCAGTGCCTGTGATTGGCGCGGCACTATCAGCTTCCTGGCGGGCTCGTCACGTGGAGCTGCGAACACGCCCGAGCCCATCCTTAGTCAGTAGCAGATCCTTTAAGTCCTGTTAGTTGGGAGGTGGGGACGGCCTTCACCCATGTGCATCAGTGAGCCTTGGCCACCCCCATGACCCTGTCACCAGTTTCCTTGGACCACGTTTGGTCGGTCCTGACCACTGTAGACCAGGAACATCCCACAAGAGCTGCAGCTTTGGAGTTGCTCTGACCCAGTTGCTCAAAACCTTACACTTGCCCATTATTTTCTGCTTCCCATCAACTTCAGGGACGAAATGTTCACTTGCTGCCTAATATATCCCCCACCCACTTCCAGGTGCCATTGTAATATATCCCCCACCCACTTCCAGGTGCCATTGTAATATATCCCCCACTCACTTCCAGGTGCCATTGTAATATATCCCCCACTCACTTCCAGGTGCCACTGTAACCAGATTATGAATGTTACTCACTTCACCTCTCAGTGGTCAGAATAAAGGATGCACTGATACCGATACCAAGTATTTGAGCAAGTACTCCTCCAAATGCTCCGATACTTACCCGATACCAGAACTTCTGGTCAGAGGGAGATTTTCTTATGACCGGCAGTGCCGCGACGGCACATGGAGCGGGTAATGACTCACCGCCCAGCTTCCTCATTGGCCAGGAAGCCTTCTCCATGCTGTTTGGCTGGCTCGATGCTGGATGGCCGGGCTGGCTTCTGGATTACCTGGGAAGCTGGCTCCATGTTAGCGAAAGTACCCGTATCGGTGCATCCCTAGGGACAATGTTATGGCTGATCTGCTCCTCCAATACTTGCCTCCAGGACTTCTCTAGAGTCTCTCCAAGCCTTTGGAACTCCTTACCCCAACCTGTCTGTCTAGCTCCCACTCTGACTGCCTTTAGGCGATCCCTTAAGACGCATCTCTTCAGGGAAGCCTATCCCACCTCAACCTAACCACTGAACCATCACATTCTCAAACAATTCATCCCCACACAGCTACCTCCTCATGTATCACTGGCCCCTCCCTTTTAGATTGTAAGCCCTCAGGGGCAGGGCCCTCCTTACCATCTTGTCTTGAATTGTATTGTGATTGTAATGTCTTCCTTATATTGTAAAGCGCTGCGCAAACTGTTGGCGCTCTATAAATCCTGTATAATAATAATAATCGGTGTTTATATTTAATTTTTCTTTAATGGGAGGTCACAGGTCAACTTTCACTTTCAGTTTTATCTGCAGCGCGCCTTCAAAAGTATAAAGTGTCCAAATCACCAAAATAAAAGAAAGGACATCGTATACAGTGTTTTATTGGCAGAATATATTACCTGTGGTATAACCCCTATCAGACAATCAGGCCGGCACAGGTCGTGTGCACCAGCAGAGAGAGCTGTATGCTGGTGA